CCAAGGCACCATCCTCATAGCCATAGATTCTCAGGAATATTTAGGTGTTAACTCACCCTTGATTTCAGTTGAATGAAGTATGTAAATAATTCTGAAGATGTGGGGCTTTGGAATACCATTATAAAATGGCAGATTTCAAAGTTGCACCAGATTCTGACATTCTTCTGACATTCTTCAAAGTATGTTTTAAAAAGTTAAGTCCGACAAAGAAAAAAAAATCCCATGATCTCCTTGAACTGATATGGAAGCATCAGCAAAAGTAAATCCTTGTATAAGAGTAACTGGTCAGGTTTTTACTCCAAACTTACATGTCTTCCCATTCACCTCATAGTTCAAAGCGACAACATCATGTTTACCTCATATGGTGGTATTAGAACTTGTTATCTGTGAAGCATTCCCACATCCTTGGAAAGCACAGCAATTCTCTGTACATACAAGAAAGCAACAGCAGAGGTACCACTTAGCGTTACTCCTCAGAAGTCTGAATGTAGTTATAACAAGCACTGATGCTCACTGAAAAGCTTCAGAAACCTTAGGAACAGATTTATAGTGTCAGTTGACAAAAACTTCAACAGCTTTTGTAAGAGCAGTGCCTTCCAGATGCAGATGTAGCCACAGACATCTGTTAGCTAAACAATGCTGAGGTGCATCTCTCTCTGTAATTCCACCCTCCCAGGCAATGACCTGGAAAACCTCACAGCATAACACATTAAGTTCAAGAAACCATTTGAGGGATTCTGACTCCTCTCCCTTATCATTTGTAGCACATGTTTACCATTTACAGCTCATCACCACCACATGCAATCACTTACATTCCAAATGTTCAAGGAGCTCTATAGTTGAGCAAGAAAGTACCTTAATATTCTGAACTACCTGGAAACATCCAAACTTGGAAAGGCTCACGACTTTGTACTGCAATGCTTGAACACCTTTGACACACCATGCTAACCTAAGACCCTCCTAACAAGTGCAGCTTGCATACATAAACCAATATGGATTCAGCTGTGCAGAGCTGTTTATACAGCCTTTCAGAAGCACAGCATTTTCAAACACTACTACAGACATTAGACCATGTCTTCCTAAGAGAAGTTTAGTGGTTGTCAGTGAGGCTTGACTTAATGATGCACACTGCATCAGCAACTGTATTTAATTAACTTTTTTGGTTGGCCTCACAGAGTGGTTTTCTACAATCTGATCTTGTCTGCATGAGCCCTGTTATGATTTCACATGGGAAGGAGGCATACAGGCACATCATCTTTCATAAATAAAACTGCTCTGACTTATAAAGACTGCTGATAAGGAAAAAAGATATCAGGGTATCCATGCATGGATAAAACACAACACAAAGCTTTCTGAAGCAAAATATCTGGAAATTAAACCTAAGGGAAAGAATGCCACTTTCTAAATAAGTAGTTCAAATAGTTTAATAAAGGGAGGAATGAGGATAATAGGGGATGGTTATTTTGAAATGAATGCTTTTATCTATGCCACATAGTGTCTTTCCCAGTGGCACCAGCAGAATTCAACAGCGTGATTTCAAGAGAAAGTATAAGAATTAGTCTTTCCTTTGCTGCTTGGAGAAGCCAGTTTGTTTCAAGCTTAAAACAAGCAAGCTGATATTTTACATGAAGTGCTTATCACTTAAAATGCAAAACAGAACATGATGTATTCCCACTTATCTGACTGTACTAGATTTAATATATAAATACAGGAATGTTCAAGGATAAGTGAAGGATCTTTGTCTCAGATATACTCTAAAAATTTCTTCTCAATGATTTTTTGCTTTCCTTTTCTTAGAAACACATTTGAGGTTTAACAGTCAAGACAAAAAAAGAGACACATGGGCAAACTCAATCCCTGAAGCTTCTAACCCAGACAGCAAAATGTCCATGAACTTGCGTATACTATATCCCTCTTCACTTGCAGCTGTATCACTACACATTTCAAATCTGAATCCTCATATTATTCTTTTCCCTACCATACATCTTGTTTAATTAAGATATTTGTCACCTTGGCACTTATAGCAGTTTATCAGCACTTAACTGGGAAGCAAGTGTTTCGAAGCTTATAGCATGCCAGATTCTTTTCTATTAGGATCTGAAGCTCATAAGCATATCCAGATTTCATACCATGTTTTTTAGCTACAAGCTTTCAAGTATTTCAGATGGGTGAAAATATCAGCTCCTCCAACTGTAAAATAGAGATATTTTGTACCAGAATTTAAATAGAAGATATCTAAGCAACTTTACTCCGCAAAGTTGTAGCTTTGCAAAGGAAGAGTAAAGGAAAAGTCTCTCAGTCTTTTTGCCTGGCTTATCCTTATGCCATTAAAATAAACATGAAACAATATGTTCCTTTTTAACCACTTGATGAGTCAGTGCAGCTCAGGAAACTGATAAAAGGTTTATGGAAATAAATTAATATTGCATGAATGCTGCTGGAGCTATTAAACAAACATAAGCGAAAACCCATCACTGAAGCCAAGAGAGACCCATTTACAAGGGAAAATGACAAAAAAGTCAACAATCATTATTAAAGCAGGTTCTTTGCTCAGTGAAAATGGCATATGACCTAAACAGATATAAGCAGTGCAACTGATAGTTATGCTGTTTATATTAGATATTACAACTGGATTACACTGCTTTTGACAATAAATTTTTTAGCATCCTTTTATTCATGCAAAGGAATGCTTATCAAAATCTTTCAGTCTCTTAATTCTTCAAAATAAATGAGAAGAGTAGTATTTTTATGGTATGAAACAGCCCAGTTACTGATATTCTGGTTATCCTTTTACAAGTCTCATGCATGAGAAGTTCTTGAAGTCTGCAGTTGATGACAGGATGAAAGACAGCAAATACTGAGACTTACATCTTTAATAGGCAAACCCAGTTTCATTTTTGAAAATGCAGTCAGTTCAGTTACCTTTGCTCAAGACCAAGAGAAAGATCAAAATTATCAGCCTTCCTGCAGGAGTCAGACTCAGATCTGCAGATCACAGAGGCTTCAAAGGTGCTACGCAAAAGCAGCTGCTGTATCTTACCCACTTTCACACAGTACTTCAGAAATACACATTTGTGTGACAACAAAGGAGGCAAACCTTTCCATGACCTTGCAATAGTGATCTTCACAGACTTGAGTTCCTCAGCTTTCCATCCAGCAAAACTTTTGCATTTTAATATAACAGGATTTCTGAAGAACTTCAAAGATACAGTTGAACCAAAAGCAGTTCGGACAGGAAAAACGAGAAGGACTGCTCAGAAGCAAGCGGCCTTCTTCTGTATAAAAAACAAAACCTGATAGTATTTTAGTACTTCAAAGAATGATCTTCCAAAAAATCTGATCACTTTCTCAAGAATTGTTTATTTTATTTATATCAAGGCCAGCATTTAAAATCCACTCTAGAAAACATTTGCCCAGCTAGGTCATAGAAAAATGAAATACTTTGCAGTGACCTTAAACACACTAACAGAACACCTGCACATATTTTTTAATTAAGATCAGTTACTATAAAATATCATTGATCAACAGGCTTACTCATTAATGACCTTTAAGTTACAGTTATGTCAAAATAAGAATAGACCTACAGAAGAGGTCCAGTCTGAATTCAAAGATGCATTTCACATGCTAGCGAAAGTCACACTGAGATTTTAGAAACCACATCTTCAAGTAAGAAAACACAGCAAGAAGCTATGAAGTAACCTTCATAGAAATTACTCTGCTGAAGACTTTTACTATCAGTTAAAGTACAGACATTTCTTACTATCACCCATTGCATAAATTCCCCATTATACATTGTCTGCCAGGTACAATGGTTGGCCTATCGTAAAACCCAGTTATATTATACTTTCATTTGTGAAAACTAGAGTCAGACTCCGAGTATCATCGGCAGTCAGCAAAATGCACCACTGTAGAAAAGTGCCAGTACCCTTCTTTGCTGTCTGCTATGGAAATTGTCAATGCAGAATTTTTGCATGTTATTGAAACAACTTCAAATGTCACTTACACAAGTACCTTTGGAGATGTTAATAAATGCACTGTTTATAACCCTCTACCTATTTAAATTCCTCCCAACTCCTCAAATATACTTCTGTCTTTTATTTCCCTCTCCTGCATGCATTTGTTTGACATTCAGCAATTATGGGAATTTAGTCTCATTTCAACTTAAATGTTTGTTAATATATTAATAATGTTCGTCTATTAACAGACCCACATTATTGGCCTCTCTGCTTGATGGAAAACAAAACTACTTATGCCATACATTCACAAAAAAAATGTAATACCCAATTAAAAAAAAAAACCGTAATTATAGGTCTACATATTTTACAACATTGCTTCATATTTAATGCAACTGCTTCAAAAGATCTCCCTCTAAACACGGTCCATCCTTCGTCGGGACTTAAATTATTTCATATAACATGTTAACAATCTTTGATTATCTGATAAGTTTTTCCTACTATTCCATTAGACTCATTCATACATTTCTGTTAGCTTTTTATGACTTACTGAAAAAAAAAATGTGAAGGAGAGCAGAAGAAAGCTGCTTCTGCATAGTTCAAGCAAGAGCACAGGAAAAGGAAGCATAATCAAGAACAATGGCAGTCTGACTTTGAGATCTTCTTTCTTATTATAATAAATAGCAACCTTTTGAAGAAAAGGAGACTGATAAATACTCAACATCATCCTCTAAAACCAGGAACAACCTGAAGATACCAAAACATTTATTTTCATCCTGCATTAAGATAAATGTTACCATATTTCAATGTGTTTAATTAAGTTACAATGTTTCTCATAAAAGAATATAGTGTTGTTCAAGGTTGAGAAAATATTCTTTTCAATCTATTAGATTTCACCTAATTGCAGAGCATAATAATCATACCGGGTATTTCCTCCCCTCCTCCCTTTCCTTCTCTTTTCTTTATAGACTTGGCTTATCAAATCGACTACACACAACTGCACAGCAGAGGACAGCATATTCAGCAAACAAAACATTGAGGACTTACCATTTACACAGATTTCAAATGATTTGCAAAGGTCATCCTCAAACAGGCAGCCTGAAAACACAGCAGAAAGGTGAAGATTAATACAGGTCTCAAACTGGGTAGTTAGCGCAGACTGAAGACCTCTCAGGCTATTAAATGATCAGCAACAGTCAGACATTTGGTTGGCTTCAGAAGTCTAAATTGGGCAATACAGGAAGTCAGGAACATGGAAACAGATCTGGCTAGACAGTACATCTTTCTAGCTGGTTATGTCTAGAAATAACCTTTGATGTTTTTCTTCCCCCTCATTCCTCTACTGAAGCTTCAGTTTTCACTGTGCATGTCTCATTTAGTAATTTGAGGAACCTCATGTTCTTTAAATTTTTAATATATTATTGTAACACAGCACAGTAATGCTGCAATATGCTACAAAAACATACACCAAGAAAGCAGGAGTTTCCTAAAAATATTTCTGCTGTGAAGGGTCAAGCCTATGAATCAGATACAAATTGCTCAAATTAGCCTTGGATTGAGTAGCTGCAACCACAGATCCTCAGGAGCACCAAATCTTTGGAGAAAGACTTGAAAAATGGAGTCATTTATATGAACACTGTGATACCTCCACAGACATCTGATAAATAAGTAGAGGACTGTGTAAAATATCCTAGGGTTTCTTCCACTTGAAGCAGGAAATTCGTTCAAAAATATGCTACTTTATGGGCCACTGCTACATCAGCCCCATACCTCAACCTGGGGCCTATATCCAGATAGGTAATCTGAGTTCATCTGCTCATACACATCTTCACAGTGAAGTATTCTGTTCCACTCTTGCTATTATCACCTAACTGGTAATGAAATACTAGGTATTATCCCCTTTATCTTCACTTAAAATGAATTCCTGATGACATTTGTGAGCACAGCAGAGAAGTGGGAAAGATGTGCCTCTACTCTGGTCAATCTACAGTGGGGAATTAGACAAGAACCACATACAGGAGCAGCATGAAATACTATCCCACTGTTAAGGGCATGCACTCTCTTAACCAGTTCTTTCCTTTACTTTTTTTTTCTATGATAAAGACCTAGGACTCGATAAAATTCAAGAAATGAGGCTATATTTTGAACACAAAAACTGCCTTAGAGAACACATTTTCACAATTAAGCTTGTTAATTTCGTTGGGGAAGTACCTTATGCTTATAAATGGACACAGGGACTTACAGAAATTGGGAGACCTTGAACAGTTCCACAATAAGAAAGAGCTAGGAACTTCACCACATCTAAACACAACAGCAAATCCTCTCTCCCCAGCCATGCCAATCTCAACAGAAGCACAGAGTACAAGCATCTCTGGTCAAAGTCAAATGGGTCAAGAGGTTGTTCTTATAACAACAATGAAAAACGTCCCAAGCAAACAAAAAAAAATGCGGAAAAAAAAAACCCCCACAAAAAAACCCCACACACAAACCCCCCCCTCAAAAAAAAAAAAACACCTGAAAAGCCCAAGACTCTCCATGTATGAATTAACAGAGCCCTAACACTGCTAAAAGAAAAATTTCAGGGGGACACAGTCACTTATGCATGCCTGTATAGCCTTTCAGCATGTATTAGCACATCATTACGCCTGAACTAATAGACTGTGTCTCTCAGCAGGATTTATTAACACAGCACTAGGTCTGAGCTAGGCAAACTCATCTACATGAATTTGAGATGCACTGGAGCACCAGAATCCCTTAAGTTTTCCCAACACCTGCCTGCAAAGAATCCATATACATAACCTTAAGCAGATAATGAAAGCCTACAGTATGTACACCAGTAAAAGTGCTCTCTCATCCTTTTACCTATGCGCCAATAAGCTGTGAATATGCATTTGATAGCTTCTGAAAGGAAAAGAGGAAACTTCAGACCAGGAAAGCTTCTACCAGCAGAGTATGGTAGAACAGCATGTGTCTATACCACCCACAAACTGCGGTTTGTGATGCATTTTTGAGAAGCATAAAATTTTGCTCCAGACAAGACTACTGTAACAGCCATTTGACCTGAAACAGTGTCTGAAAACTCACTGAAGATAACCAATTGCATCCTTGGTACTGACCCACCAAAGCAGAAGGATGCCTTAACTGTATGTTGACCCAAGGAACATCAGACAGGAATGATGAGAGGCAGGGACAAACACACATCTGCACAGAGTATACAGCACAAGAGCTCTAATTAAAAGCATAGTCATGATCACTTGAAAAAAAGGAATGCTCGCAGGAAAAAAAAAAAGACTTCAAATGCCAACACAAACTAGGCAAATGAAAGGCATACTTCAAACTCCTGTTTGCAGAAATCTGATGCTGTCTCTTCTAACATAAAAGTTAATGGTAAGAAAAAAAATCCCAAATCTCCAGGTAAAGGGCTCTGCCTTGTTTTCCTGAGAGATCACAAGACTTAAAACCAGAAGCCTGAAATGCCCATAACCCATGAAGGTCTGCAGAAGGTGTCCTGTTGATGGAGGGAGGATAGGTAATTTTGCAGTAAATTCTCTATTCTACAGTGGCTGTGCTGTAGATCCAAAGGGTGGCGGATGAGAAGTTTCAACCAGGAACATTTCTAGTAGAGCGGCACATGAAAAGAATGTTTCATTCAGGCATTGCTGATTTTAAAACACCTGGGGAGCTGGAATCATAAGCACCTGCTGCCTGTAGCCACCTGCTAGAGGAAGGCCATTCTATAATATATTTCTCAGAAGCAGAAAAATCCAGATATACAAGATTAACAAAATTAGCATGTTTGGGTGTAAAGAAATAAATCACAAGGCTACCCTCATACAGCACTCCAATTTAAATGCATTCTGATTTTGGTTGATATATTTTATCACCTAATATATTTTCCATGAAAAAGCACAAACAAAAATTATTATCATGTTTTAGTTTCTCTTTTCACAATAGTTCATTATTTGATGCTTGCTGCAACAAGGCATCTGATGCAATTAATCTTGGAAACTTATGTCTTGGAGAGGAAATTAATAAAGCCAATGCATGGCAAACTATATCCATCTATGATTACTCCAAAATAGACAAGGAGCTCCAAAACTTCTTGAAAAATATTTTGCTCCAAGTTATTTATTGCTAGAATTGTTATTCATATTTCATCCAACCACTCAATATGCTAATTTGGCTACTAATTTATCTTTTGTTGTTATTTTCTGTGACATTAAGAAGCATCATATTTCATTTTAAATATCATCTACCTACTAATAATAACGGTGGCAATAAGTCACCACTGAAGAATGAAGTGGTATTGTCTCCAAAAAGCACTCATTCTGCTCACACCTCATGCAATCAAAATTAATTTTATTTTTTACCAATCTCCCTACCAGGGATCATCTCCCAAAACACAGACTCTTGATGAAATCCTTCCAAACCCCATAAAAAACAACCAAAATAACCCAAACGCCCAATCTTTCTTCAAACAGCAGCCCTGAACTAATAAGCTCTTCATGTAACTATTGAACCAGCCAACAGAGACTAAAACTGAACAGGTGTACATGGATTGCTTTGCTTAATCTAGAATTTAAACACAGCTCTATTACTTAACTTGCATTAAAGGATCATCTCTTCAACTAACACTTGTATGGTCCCTACATCTCAGTAGTGACAAAGGTTGGAGCAATGACTTCTGCACAGAAGCAACAACAGCCACAAGAAGCTGAGTTGATCACCCACTCACCTGTAACCAAGGCACAAGTCCATGCTGTGCATCCGGTAATACAGTAGGATTAGTTCCCTGACACATATTGGAGCAATTTAAAACCCATTTAGCACAGCAGTAGGAATTATCCCATATACTTGAACAGCTACATGTTTTTTCACATCTGAAACATTAGGGTTTGCAAAGGTGTGGCATATGTCCATTAACTTCCACTGATATAAATCATGCACTTTTAAACTATCTTCTTGATAATTTACCAAAGTGAATTCCAGAGGAGTTTACATGAGTAAAGCTCACTATAGGTCAGAAAAGCCCAGGCTGACTATGCATTATAAACCAATAAAGTGAATTTTCATACACAGAGGTAGGTCTGTCAGAAAGAAGGCAAAAAGAATAAATAAATATCTAATTTACCCTTACTTCCAAACATGGACTGTAGTAGCCTGTGTTTCTACTAAGTTATGTCAGGTACAAGATCCATTGTCTTGAACTCATATACACACACACATTTATATATAGATAAATACAAACTTAATATATAATTTATGAGAATATACCATTAGTATTTAGAAGAGGTGCCTCTCAAGATTACAACAGCCAAAACATCAGATGAAATCACCTGAACTTCATCTAGAAAAATCTGTAGTAATTCATTTATCAGGAAAACAATTTGTAAAAATCTACTGCTCAAAGAGATTGTATTATGTTTATTTCTCTGTCTTTTCCCCCAGTTATCCAATTATTTCACACTAAACATTTCTCTTCACTCCTAAAATATGTAAGCATTTCTATTAAAATAAAAAAGGCCATAATCCCTCTTCATAAAAAAAGCACCCTATAACCATTCAAACAAGAAAACAAACAGGCTAGAACAGGTAAATGTCCTCTACAGTTACCACTCAGAAACTGAGAAAATACAAACCTCCTTCTGTTGTTGAGAGTTCTCGACTTCTTTTTATGCTTTTCATCCCACTTCAACATGAGCACCTAATGCCTCTTCACATTTTCAGACCAAAACAACTTCAGTACATCACTAAGTTTTAGCCCCTATACATTCCTTCATCAAAACATGTCAATGACCATTAACATTTTGAGTAGTTTAGAATCTATCCCACACTCACCTGCTTCTTTCCAATTCAGTTGTATTCTAGGAAGAAGACGCTGGAAAGGTAAGAGCTGATAAATACTGCTAATGAGAGAAACAAAAATGGAAACACCTGGGTATGCCAACACTAGCCACGTCTGATGGCCCTCGCTGCATCTTCAACACCAGCTGTGAGTGACTCTAAATAGAGAGCACATGTTTATTTACTTATAGTAGATTAAGAACTATGGTCCAAGAATGAAGTTTTGAAAGTGCTCAGCTCACACAACTGGGATA